AAAATTAAATTGTTTATATGGGAAATTTTAAAGAGATATAGTAGTTATAGTCCCATTTTAAACTGTTTCTGTTTATAAACAATCCTTGAGATTCCAGAGCTTGTTGTCTCTTCTGTATTCCTCAAAGAAACAAAATCTTCTGTTGAGGAGGAAGGAATGGATCCAACACCAAGGAAAAACAGTGGCATTGGGAAGCATCAGTTACCCATCTTTTCTGAGGCTGTACTCACAACACAGACAGCATTAGGGCAGGGAAGGGAGAAAAGGAAGGGAACAAATATTTACAGGGTACCATATCTTGGCCAGTATAGTCCTAGCACTTTTCACATGCTCTCTTCTACTCTTCAAACCCATAAAGAAGGACTACTATTCCCACTTTACTGAGGCTCAGTGAGGGTAATAAGCTATTTGTTGTTGTTAAGTACCATCAAGTCAGTTCCAATTCATAGCAACCCTGTATAGGGTTTCCGAAGAGCAGCTGGTGCATTTGAACTGACAGCCTTGTGTTTATCAGTCCAGTGCTTATCAAAGAGTGCCATTATTTGTTTAAATCCTGCAATATGTCAGTTGTAGATCCAGGTTCAAATCCCTAAATCCCTGGTCCATCTGATTTCAAAGTCCATGTTCCATTAAATATGAAGGTCACCATTTTTCTGAATTAACTGATGATTTGTTTCATCTAAATTCAGGAGTCCCCCTTTATCTGCCCTTAATTCATTTGGAATTGCGTTGCTGAACAAGGCAGGTATGATGTATCCTGAGATTGGAGCAAATCCTTAAATCTTGAAAATATTGCTGAATCTGTAAGTTAAAATACTGGTTCACGATAAGTCAAACGTGTGCTGTGACTGACTCTCCTGGTTTAATGTGGCGTTGTAATTGAACCACAGTACATTTAACTTTTGACATTGTTTTGGTGAATAGTAAATGTGATGGTTCCACTCTGAAAATCCATCTGTGTGGGCAGAAAATAGAGATAACTGCAGTAGTGAACATATTAAAAATAAACACTAAATGAGCTTTAAGGCCTGACAGGTACAGAGTCTATACTATGACAGGTACAGAGTCTATACTATGACAGGTACAGAGTCTATACTATGTTCCTTAAGTATATAATTGCTGTTTCTCCTTTCACTCACCTAGGAGAGAATCATAGTTTAAAAAAAAAAAAAAAAAAAAATTCTTTGTGGCAAAGTGGGTGAGCAGCAAAGAAAGATGAGAAAAACTTAACCAAAAGGATCTGCGCTGATGGCTGGGTCCCCCTCTCCCCCTTACCCCACCTTCACTTCTTCCTTTCTGTTCTCTTTCACAGATGTTTTTTAAATTAGAGAGTATTAGTCTTTGGGTAGGAGTTCCCAAGTGGCACAAATGGTTAAGCACTCTACTACTAGCCAAAAGATTGGCAGTTGAAACCTACCCAGAGGCTCCTCAGATGAAAAGCTCTTGGTGATCTTGCTTCTGAAAAGCCACTGCCTTGGGAACCCTGTGGAGCACTTCTACTCTACACACATGGGGGTCCCCATGAGTTGGAATCAGCTCTATAACAATTGACGCCATCAAGAGTCTGGAAAGCACTAGAGTGAAACACTCAACAAGTAGCTGAAAGCATAGCAGTTGGAACCCACCCAGAGGCACCTCCAAAGAAAGTCCTGATGATCTCTTCCTGAAAGGTCTTAGCCCTATGGAGTACAGATCTACTCTGGCACACATGGGATTGTCATGAATCAGAACTGACACTTCAGCAATCAGGGAATAAAAAAATCTAAACTAAGAAGGGGCATTAGAGATCTTCTAAAGCAAAATCAAACAAAACCCACTGCTTGCTATTAAGTTGATTCTGACTCATAGCAACCCCAAAGGACAGAACAGAACTGCCCCATAGAGTTTTCAAGGCTGTAAGTCTTTACGGAAGTACACAGCCACATCTTTCTACCTCAGACCAGATGATGGGTTTGAACTTGGTTAGCGGTAAAGCACTTCACCCGTGGCTCCACCAGGCCTCCTTGTGTCATGCAGGAATTTCGTTTTGCAGAGGAGGAAACTGGGGCCCAGAAAAGTTAAACAACTTGTGCAAGATGACACAGTTAGAGGCAGAGTTGCACTGGAACCCTCTTCTATGACACTTTCCTGCTTTGCTCAATCTGCCCCTGCAGATCCAGCAGACACGCATTTATCTCTGCCTGTGCTCATCCGGTGGAGTCCCATGCTGGCCTATTTCTTTTTAATAAAGACAACTGAAGTAATAGCATAGTGCTCACGTTTGGGAGCCAGATAAACTGGGCTTAGACATTCATCTGTCCCTATGTTATATATCTCTTTGGGCAAGTCCCTTAACTTGAGCTTTCGTTTTCTGATTTGCAAAAAGAATAATTATAATGCCCACCTCATAAGACTGTAATGAGGAAGAAATGAGCTAGCCCTCATAAAAAAACTATTACAATGCTTATCATCAATAGTAAACTGAGTTGTTCTTTAGATATAGGTTTGAGAAATAGTCTACAAAATGTCCATAAATTACCTATTCTCACTTCAGCAAATATCTGTAAAACTGGAGCATAAAACAGAGAAAACAGAATAACAGTTGAAGATGTTTGCAGTTAAATACACACCCTCATATAGTTTAAGGAGCCCTGGTAGCATGGTGGATTACAAGCTGGGCTGCTAAACAGAAGTGTGAATCTACCAGTCATTCTGCAGGAGAAAGAGGAGGCTTTCTGCTCCCATAAAGATTTACAGCCTCAGAAACTCTATATAGGGTCGCTATGACTTGGAATTAACTCCACGGCACTTAGCCATAATCACCATCACCATATAGTTTGGAGAGTCACTGTGAAACTATGTAAACCATTCATTGCTGGGCTTTAGGGAATACCTGGGGTTAGGAGATAAGTTGTAAATTTTTTAATGTGGCATCTTTGGGGGATTTACATAAATATAAAGTAATAAAGCACAGAGACCTTCTCTTCTATAAAAAATAAACCATTTGTCAAGTTGATTTGGATTCGCAGCACCCCCAACTGGTGTCAGAGTAGAAATGTGCTCCATGGGGTGTTCAATACGGCTTATGTTTTGAAAATGTATCACCAGGTCTTTCTTCCAAGGCACCTCTGGGTAAACTTGAGCCTCCAATCTTTTTTAACAATGGAATAACGTTAATCCTTTGGACCACCCACAGACTTCATTCTCCTATACACAGCTGAACTAAGATAAATGAATATCTGTCAAGTTAGTTGACACAAGACTGCAGGAGAAATATATCGACTGAGATTTTCAAAAGAGAAGGCATTTTAGAGATGTTCTGCTATAACCTCCCATCTCATTTAAAATGAGGAAAATAAGATCCACAGAAGTTGAAAGATTTTCTAGTTAGTTGCAAACCTAGAAACAAAACCCAAGAGTTTCAATTCCTAGTTCAGTGAAGAGATTACCACCAAAATGAAATAAACTGATCACAAGTTTCTTCTAATGAGCTGCTTACTGTGCACCTTTGCTTCTCTACCAGGCTTTGTGGTCATGCTCCTTCAGATGTTATCTTTTATCTTCTGCTCCTACTCAGCAGTTGGAGTTGTTGGACAAGATCCTTAGCTTCAGGCTAAATTGCATCATGGATCTAGCCAGGCCTCAGGGAGCAGCAAACTTCCTCTTTAACATGCTTCACGTTCCAGGAAGTTACAGCTTCTAGATCATGTTCTTAATCTGGAAGCTCAGCGGAGTCTATGAAAGGTTTCAGGGATCCATGAACCCTTAGGGCTGTATACAAAATTCATGAGCTTATATATTTTTTTTCCTTGGGAGGACTATAGCTTTTAACAGATTTTAAGAGACTTTAACCCTCCAAAATGTTAAGAACCATTAATTCAACAAGTTGGGCCTTTTTAATCTGGTCAAATTGTGAAACTTCTAATCCCTTTTCCACTTTGAGGATTAACATCACACATGAGAGCATACTGTATCTTGTAATTTGTAGACATTGAACAAATATTTGTGAACTTAATTTTGTTTCAAAAGGGCTTTCCCTGAGGATAGACTTTCAAGGCTTCATTTGCTTTGTAATTTGCTATATTATTAAAGTTTCACCTTTTTTCAAATAATCTTTCCACAGTGAGCTGGGAATGGGTCCAGTTATGACAGGTGGGTCCTTAAAGCATAAGGTCATTAGAAACTTGGTGAGAGTAGAAAGAACAATAAGAGAAGAGGGCCCAGAAAGGGGACTTAGTGACCACAACTTTGTGTAGAGGAAGGAATTTAAAAGTCCTTTGCTATTTTGTATCATATCAAAAGAACAGATCTTGAAGTACAGAGCCAAATCAGTCAATATTTTAGTGCTTGGTCTATGCTAAGTGTTATGGGGATTTGAGAGAAATATAAAATTTAGTACCTCTTCTTAAAGAGTTATTAACAATGTTGGATACAGACCATCCTGAGACCTTATGCAAGTATCATAGAGTTCTACAATTTCTCATTCGTAATACCTTTAGGTGTTGCAGGAGTTTAGGGATAGATTCAATGAATGGAAAGAAGTAAGCCATGCTTTTGGCAGGTACTTTGCTTTTCTCTTTAAACCATCTAACTGGGATTGTACATGCTCAGAACTTTGCCATTAGCAAGGCTGACTGAACTTCAAAGACAGATCATTTCAATAACTCTGACTAGGGGACTGGCCATTTCTGTAATTCTGACCAATTGATTCATTGTTGAGGAACTGCTTGCGCTATGCCGTTTCACTGGTACTATGTTACTCACAGATTAGTTATTTGTTTCTTGTCATTTTCATTCCATGACGAGGAGAAGCTCATCACAGTATAGAAAACACAGGCAGTTCAGATAAATGACTGAAATATATTATATTCTTTCTTCATGAAAAGCAATGAAGTTGAATTAGGTAAGACCACCCTGAAAATTATAAAACTCTATTAGGACAAGGGTAGTACAAACAGCAATTCCACAGACATCCTTCACCTCCACTGGCTTTGGACTAATGGACTATCTTCTCTGTTTAGATGACTGAACAGGCCCCAGAACCACAACTGGAGGTGGAGGAGGATGAGCTGGACAGCAAGCTCAATTACAAGCCCCCACCTCAGAAGTCTTTGAAAGAGCTGCAAGAAATGGACAAAGATGATGAAAGTCTGGCCAAGTATAAGAAAACACTCCTGGGGGACGGTCCTGTGATAGCAGGTATGTGAGCATGGGAAACAGGAGAAGGTGAAGGGCCCCAGAGGAAGCATCAATTCCAGACATTCAAGAATGCGTGCAAAGAAAGGAACCAACTTCCCCAGTGTTAAGGAGAAAGATGCAATCCACATATGCTGAAGAGAGTTCCAAACTATATAATTAAGTCTCCTTGGAAGATGAGGTACAGCATTGAAACAGGGAGCATGTTGACTCCACATGATAAACACTAGACTGTAAACCACAAGGTCCACAGTTCGAGCCCATCAGCTGCTCCGTGGGAGAAAGATAAGGCTTTCAGCTCCCATGAAGAGAAACTCTATACAGGGTTACTATGAGTAGATGGACTCATAGTAACATACAGAATGGACTCCAAATCACTCAACAAAAGCAACAACAACACACAGAATTTAGAAAGAATTCTGGACTAACACTTATAATTGTAGTCTTCTCTTTCTAATACCGCTTACATTCTCTCTCTTCTCTCTACCTCACCCTTTAGTGACTATTTAGTTCATCCACGTACACAATGGCAGAGCAAGACATAGCCCCAAGATATTAATGGATTGTACCCACTTATAAGACTGCCTCACCACAGCCTCTTAGAAAATGTTTGCTATTGATAATTAAGGTGGAATCTACAAATGCCTGTGGCCAAAGAGCATCTATGTAATTTATAAAGGCTTCATGATCAAATGTAGCAAATTCCTCACATCCATTTCTATTTCAAAGGAGCCCTGGTGCCACAATGGTTTAGCATTTGGCTGCTTACCAAAAGATTGGTGGTTCAAACCCACTAGCCACTCCATGACAGAAAAGAGCTGGAGATCTGCGCCTGAAAAGATTCAAACAAACCCACAACCATAAGGTGGATTTCAACTCACAATGGGCCTATAGAACAGAGTACAACTGCTCCATAGCATGTCTACGACTGCAGATCTTTACAAGAACAATAAGAAAGCCTCATTCTTCTCCCCTGGAACTGCTGGTGGGTTTGAACTGCTGATCTTTGGTTAACAGCCCAACACGTAACACACTGTGTTATCAGAGCTCCTTTCCATAAAGATAATAGCCTAGTAAACCCCATAGGACAGTTATACTGTATCTTATAGGGTCACGATGAGTAGGAATCCCCTCAACAACATTCTGTTTTAACTCCAGTAATATCACCTTTCTTGAATATAAATGTTGTTGTTCCAGCTTACAGCAACCCGGTATAGGATTTCCAAGAGCAGCTGGTGGGTTTGAACCAATGACCTCGTGATTAGCATCCCAGTGCTTATCTGACAACACTACACCAAGGCTTGCTCATGCTTTCTCTCTCTGTATATGTATAGCCCACAGTGCCACTCCACGCACACATATATATGTTATATATGTGTGGAGTGGCACTGTGGGTTAATGCACTGGACTGCAAAATCAGTTTGAACTGAAAGATTCGCAGATCAAACTCAAGGTCGCTATGGTTTGGAACCAACTCAATGGCACTTAACAACAACAACATTTATGTGTGTGTGCATGTGTGTGTGTGTTTGCACTGTAGGATAAAGCACTGGACTACAGGTCAGTTTGAACCACAAAGTCAGTGGTTCAAACCCACCAGCCACTCCTCAGAAACCCTATACTGGGTCACTATAAGTCAGAATTGACTCAAAAGCACTTAACATATATATGAATACTTATATTTATACACACACACATGCACACATATATACATGAAGGGTCCTGGTGTGCTACTGTGGGTTAATATGCTGGTCTGCAAGGTCAGTTTCAACAGCAAGGTCAGCTGTTCAAGCTCACCAAACGCTCCTTGAAAACACTATACAGAGTTGCTATGAGTTGGAACCAACTCAACAGCACTTAACAACAACAACTTATGTACATACATGCATATATATGTTGTTAATTGTTGTTCTCGGTTCTGACTCATAGTGACCCTGTGTAGCGTTCCCAAGGAGTGGCTGGTGGTTGAACTGCCAACCTTGAGGTTCAAACCAACCATGCAGTCCAGCAAATTATCTCACAGCACCATACCAGCAGTCCTGGTGTAACGCTCTGGGCTAATACATCAGACTGCAAAGTCATTTGAACTGCAAGGTTAGTGGTTCAAGCTCACCAGCTTCTCCTTGGAAACCATATACAAGGTCGCTATGGGTCATAATTGACTCAACGACACTTAACAACAACAACAACCATACCAGGAGAATATATATATATATACTCCCTCCTTGAAACACACAGACTACAAACACGTATCAGCACCCTGTACTTACATTCTCTTTTGAATCCTGCAGACCCAACAGCCCCCAATGTTAAGGTCACCCGACTAACCCTGGTGTGTGACAGTGCCCCAGGACCAATCACCATGGACCTCACTGGTAAGTAGACACAACTTCTCTGTTCAGAGGTGCCCGATGATATTGGGGTAAAAAACTTGGCCTCGATGCCCTGTCCCCTTGTGGAGTACTGGTGCAGCGCTCTAGGATAAGCACTGGACTGTTAACCACCAAGTTAGAGGTTCAAATCCACTAACCACTCCTTGGAAACTTTGTGCAGGGTTGCCATGATGGCTCTTAACTCACTGGCACTTGACAACAATGCCCTATCCCAGCAGAAAGAAACCCTAAGAATCCTAGTGGCATATAACAGGACTTCAAAAAAATTCATCAAAAAATGGAATCAGAAGATAATGGAATGTTTCAATAAGCTTTTTGAAACTTCCTCAGATATCTTAGTACGAGCTCACAAATCATAGTATGCAGTACTTTGCCATGCTTAATAACAAGCCCCTACCTCTTGTTCTATTTAATTAGAAAGTGTGTAGGAATAAGCCCTTTAAATATTTACTTCTGTAGTATTTATTTTTATATATCCACCTGATAGCAGAAATTTGCTATTCATATAAAAAGATTGTGGATTGAAATATTAAGAAACATGCAGTATTATTCTGAAATTTTAATGTTTATATGACTAAACACAAGAGAAACTACTGTTCTTATATCAGCCACAAAACTTATAAAGTTGAGTAGCAATCTAAGACCTCTTGAATACTACTTGAAATTCCACTGCTGTATCTTTTTGTTTTGTTTTACTTGGTTGTTGTTTAAATCTCTGACCTTTGCTATGTGAGAAACTTTCCCCACTGAAGCTGTACAAATTAGGTTATTATTATTCACTTTCACCTTACTGAGACGAAGGTTCAAATCTTGAGGAAACGGAGAAAATTTGGAAAGATGGAAATAGTGGAACATCTGAGAGGGATTGAAAAACAATGGGGCACAGATTAGGAGGTAGAGATCTTCAAAGGCAATACCAATTTATTTTACTGTCTGCCTAGCTCCTGTAAAAAGAAAAAAAAAAGTGTTATTGTTTGTTTGTTTACCAAATTCAAATACTGGACTTCTGTGGGACAGAGCAAAGTAGGACTCTAGAACAGCAGTCAATTTAACAGAGAAGTGGTTCCCCTCTCACTGGACACATCCAGTTCTTACCTTATATGGGCTTTTTCTGTCAAAGGGAGGAAATCAGAGACTGAAAAAACACACTTCCTGTTCAACTGAAATCATCAGAGCAGACACAGCACACAAATTCGACTACCTCCACATTCTAACATCTCTGCAAGAGAGAAGTTCTCCCTCTCTCAGTAGGACTCAGACCTCTTCCTGTGTGAAATTGTGTAATGGTACCAGGTGGAACTGTCAGTTAAGATAAAGTCTGAATTTGCACTAAAGATTTGTTCTGTGCCGAAGGACCTGATAATATTGCAGGGAAAACTTGGTCACTCTCCTCTGTCTCAGTAGAAGGGAACCCAAGTTTTGGTTTCTTGTTACAAAAAAGCTAGTGAGGTAAATCCCAAAGGTACACGAGGGAGCTTAAAAAAATTTTTTGTGTGGGAAAATTTCATTATATTTCAATTGCATTTTCTATGAACATTGTGAAGTCCCCTCTGATTTGTGGGCAGGGGATCTTGAAACCGTTAAAAAAGAAATCTTTGTGCTAAAGGAAGGTATTGAATTAGAGTCAAAATTAACTTCAAAGGAAGTGCCCTGTCATACACATTCACACACACACACCCTTAAATGCAAAATTACACAGGGTCACATTGAAAGAGAATGCTTAGTATCCTTAACAGAATACAGGAATTTGGGACAGATCCAGGTTTTATGGAGTCTGAAGTGTTTATAATTTGGGTGGCCCTCCTTAAGAAAAATAATACTAACTGGCAAATACAAATTAAAAAAATATTAAGTGACTATTTATTTACAGTGGTAAAAGGAATCAGACATCATTTTCAAATGCTAGAAAATGCCACAAACATCATCAGAGTCATAAAAAAATAAACGTTTAACACTTCAATATATTTTTCATATGTTTCTTTGTTTGGAGGCAGGAGGGACATTACAACTTTATCGCTTCTTCACTTGACTACATAACACCATTTTCAATACAGAAAATAGAAAGTGAATCTAGTTTTCCTATAGTATAGTTACTAGATTCAAGTGCATTTTATTATTATTATTATCAATAATTAGAAACCGTTCTTTCATCTTCATAACTTATTACTGATAATGTCTTGTATATTTTATGATTGGCATGAAATTAAAAAAAAATTCACAAACAATTGCATATCTTTCATATATGAGTTGTGAAGAAGCTATGTCTCATTTGTGTATATTCAGGGACTCATTTCAAGTACTCTGAATTGAGGACCTCATGGACTATGTACCTCAGATGAAGCCAATGAGGGGATCTGGAATTTATGCTTCATTAGCCTCCCTGTATATCTGCTTCTGAGGAGAATAAACTCTTTCTAAATCATCTTCTATAGGAGATCTTTCCGCCCTCAAAAAAGAAACCTTTGTGCTAAAGGAAGGTGTGGAATACAGAGTCAAAATTCACTTCAATGTAAGTATCTTGTCTTGCTTGTTTTTATAAAGTATAGCACTTTCCTATAATTACAGACTAAATTTATATTATCAAATCAGCATGTTTTTTTCCCAGCACGCCCCCCCCCCCACCAATTCTGAGATGTCCTCTCCAAACTCTGAGACCCACCTGTTGCAGAATCATCTTGTCCATGCCTTTTCCTAGTCAGGGTCCTCTCCTTAAACTCTACATGCAGGGTCCCTCTCTCTATGCGAACTCCTAATATTCATATCCAGGAAGAGCTTACTGTTTTCTATCGAACCATTTCTATCATTTTTCCCTTATACAGTCTAAACTCCTTGAAGCAAGGAGCAATTATATATCCCTTCTTTCCAATGTTTCACATAAGACCTTGAAAATGGAAGATACATAGTGATTATATGTTGAGAAATGCACAATGAATGAAGCTATTAAGGGGGTAAGAATAGAACACACAAGGCCTTAGCTCTACTTCTTGAATAATTATGTAAATGCAGGGATTGTTGCTTTTGGTGAATAGCTGTCAATTAGAATTATATGAGGGTGAGTCAAAAATTTTCTGCACTCTGGTTATATTAAAGCGCCATCCACATCCATGGTTGATGACAACATTGAGTGTGAACATAAATGATTCTGCCATATAGACAAATGACAGTGGATTATGTGGTAAATTATTTGCAAATCAGCCATGGCTCTGCCTAAGAAATAATCCATGACAGACTTGGGGTTTGAAAAATTGGTGTGAGATGGGTACCAAAACAACTCATGGAAGAGAATAAACCAAAGCACTTGGATATCTGCAAACAAAACTTGGACCAATACTTGAAGGAAGGCAAAAGTTTTTTTTTTTTTAATTCTCTACTGGTGACAAGACATAGATTCAGCACTACAAGGCTAAGAGTGAACGGCAGAGTATATATAGAATGGAAACATCCTCAATCACTGACCAAGAAAAAGTTCAAAAGTCAGCTATCAGCTGAAATATTGATGTTTACAATTTTCTGGGATTCTCAAGGGCCAGTATTGGAACACTATTATGAAAAAGGTCAACAATCAACAGTGCCCTTTATGGTGAGATGCTCACTGAAGAGCTGAAGCCTAAAGTTTGTATTAACTTCTGAGGACTGCTATCTAAGGGACTTGTGATCTTGCAAGAGAGTGCACGTCCACACACCTCTGCCCACACTGTTGACACTCTGCAAAAACTTCATTTTGAGGTGCTAAGCATCCTCCCTATAGTTCTGATCTTGCTCCACTGGATTTTCACCTGTTTAGTCCCCTGAAAGCAGTCCTTTGAAGACAAAGACTCACCTCTGATGAAGAAGTGAAGACAGGAGTGCATTCGTGGCTCGCAGCTCAGCCTAAAACATTTTTTAAAAAAAGGAATATGAAAGCTGTTGACAGATGGACAAAGCATACGAAAAGAAAGGAGAATATGTCAAAAAATGATGTATTTGTTGGGTCTAAAAGTTGATTAAAATCTATTCTAAAGCCAGAGTGCAAATGATTTTTTACTCGCCCTCAAAATTGTGGAGTTGGTGACCAAGATGTTAAATTAATCAGTATCGAATGAATACACACATAATCCAATGAACAGCCAAAATGAAAAAAAAAGTTAGGAATGTACTATTAAACTTCTTGATTTCTTGTGTTAGCCTTGTTTCCCTCTACTCCCACTTTGCCATGGCCTATTTGTGAATTGATCCTTCTTTCTCCCAGGTTTGATTCAGGTCCATGGACAATCATTTCCCACCATATACACATATGCCTCCAAATAATGTCATTCTGGCACTATGTGTTGATGCCTGCTAGATACTGCATACTTTGCTATGGTTTACTTACTTATTTCCTGTTCTCTTATGTTTTGTTATTTACTAATGAAGCACCTGGGGGGTTAGTAAGTTATTGTGTCCATATCAGTGCCTAGGATGGGTCACATACCAGACCAGTTATTAACCACTAAAGCTTCTACATTAACTTGCCAATTTAGTAAGCCAGTTTCTATCATGTGAAACATTACAGGCAATGTGTCATATGAATAAGAAGAAAAGGAAAGGTGTGAAACATGGGTTTCTGTTCTGAGAGGAAAAGCTGGGGAGAAAGGCAGTAGTGTGTGACCAGGCCATTATGGTTACACATTTTGAGGAGGAGGACATCGGGAGGAATATTCACTTCAGATATTTTGGCCTTATTTCTAACAGGAAAAAGATCACTCTCAATATGTAACCCACATAAAGTTGAACCACTAACCAGCATGGAGCAATAGTTACAAGAAATGTCAGAACAAAAGTAGAAAATAATTGAAAAGCTTTTTAAGTCTTTACTGACAGCTCTTGAAAAATGCCCAAGAAATTTTACATTTCTAGCATAAGCAACATACCCTAAAATCTTCTTTCTTTATCTTTCTCAGTTACTTCTAGTATTCTCTTTCTCCCAACAAGCTTCACAGCACTCTTTCCAAACACTTGACCTGTGATGATTACTTTATTCTCCTTCCCATTTACTTCTGCCTCTAGAGGAAATGTATATAGGAGCTGCACTTCCAGAACTCTTACTTCATACATGCCTCTAAGACTTTTTCCACCTGGGGTTAAAGAGGGTGGCAAGTCAATGAAGACGATGTTATGAATATGTTTGTTTGTTGTTTTGTTAAGTGCCATCAAGTCTGTTCTGACTCATAGCATCACTGTATAAAGTTTCCAAGGAGTAGCAGGTGAGTTTGAACCACCAACATTATGGTTCAAACCAACTTTGCAGTCCAGTGCATTATCTCACAGCAGCAGTAGAAAAATGGTAGGCTCTTGATTCTGAAGTCTTTATTGCTACTCTATTACTATTCCTGTTCATAGTCTTTTTCCTTCAGACCCAAGGGACAGCTCAGGCATTTCTATAAAGATGCATTTACTTTCTCTAATCTTAGAAATTACACATGAGAGTCAGAATAGTTAGAAAATTTGTTCTTCATTTTATCACAGTTGCTTCAGTAAAGCTATTTTCATTCTGGCTGCTTTTGATAAATTTTTTGGGTTTTTTAAAGTTTTTATTGTGAACTGAGTGATAGTTTAAATCAGAAGAACGTCAGCTTTACACCATCATTTCATTGCAATGATATACTCTCTCCTCTGTGTATCATCATTCAACAATATTTGCTTCCATTCCCTCTGTGTGTGTTGTTTTTGTTGTTTTTTGGGGGGGAGGGGAGCAGGGATGTACACAAAAACATTCAGGAATATATAATAATTTAAACAACCAAAGGGCACATTATGCAAGCCTGCCTCCTGGCCGCCAGCACCCAGTCCGTCTCTTTCTATGAGTCCAGAGTTCTCAGTTGCTCCCTCTCTCCATGTCCTCATCTCTGCATTCATCTCTGGTGTTGCTGCTTCTCTAGATAGGGTCCCACATTCTGCTTTTGCTCTTCTCCCTTGAAGGTTCTAGGGTCCTCTGTGTCTGAACTGTAAGATTAACTATTCCCCTGTTTTTGCTACAAAACTTCTACCCTTAAAGTTGTGGCAGTCGCAATTAGTCATGATAACAATTACTCACTATTGAATGTAAGAATCTTATCCCCATCTCTTTACAATAGACTCATCTAGACAACAGCAAAACTATTCAGTGGGGACAATATCTTCCCCTGCATGCTCTTAAACTAAACTCCCTCTTGAAAACTTGTAAGCCAGTCACTTCATGCCTTTATCACCCCCTGATTTTAGGTAGCCAGTGTCTAAGTTGCCTGTCCCTATGTATCCTGTATACAAAGGGGATAAGATTGATATGTGATGTGAAGACTCCTTCCCTCTCAATTGGTATTTTGAGCTACAACATAAGTATAAGTCAGGTTCATCAAATTGTAGCAATTTACACTTATTTCCTTTATCAAAAATTGTTTTTAAAAATGCACCAGACTTAAAAGCCATTTGAACTGCATGGTCGGTGGTTCAAGCTCACCAGCTGCTCCTCGGAAACCCTGTACAGGGTCACTATGGGTCGGAACTGACTTGATAGCACTTCACAACACAACAAGTCAAATTCTTATTATCAAGCCATTGATGCTAGGTCAAAGGGGTACTATCTGCAAGTCTGGGCATTCTTGTGCATCTCCCCTCACTTCATATTAGCGGGGTGCTTCACTCTCATCTCTAGCCCTCTGGGGCTATGTTCTTGTCCATGGGCTCAGGTGTCCCCAGGTCTCACCACACTTTGGACCAACCAACCCTTCCTCTTTCTCTCATCTCCAGGTCAATGGGCGTCTATGGAAGGTGGTTGAACTCAGTCCGTATCTTCATTGCTGCCTTTCCCCCCATTCCACTCACCAGTAGACCAATGTGGTTGCCAGCAAGCTTACATGCCTGCTCATGTGTTCCCTTTGAGTTTCAGTCTTAGAGAGGAGTTTGTCCTGAAGGGACTTGATTGCTTGCCTTGATGGCTTCCCAGCGAACAATTTGCTTGTCCGTGTAGTAGCCAATCAGACTGCCATTTTTGTTTTAGATTTTTCCTGATGATCTTTCTTTGAAGATGTATCTTCTGTTCCTTTAGGTTTTCCAGGCTAGTCTGCTTTTCTTTTCTAGTGGGAATGTCCCACCTCAGAAGGTTCTGGATAGGGCTCAGGATTCCACCTAAGATCCTATACACTGCAGACTCTTCAAAAGGCCTGTTTCACTGTGCAAATTCTAGAACCCCTTTTAGGTATTCCAATCAGTTATAAGGTTATAAGCTGAAGACAGGCTTACAATCTTTTTGTAATCATGTTCCCTGGTATTCCTTTTTATCCCACTCAAGTGTCTATGTTACAATAGTAGGCAAGGGAAACCAATATTCATAAGTCAGTCAAACATCTTAACATTATTTCCCCTCCTCAGACTATGCCTCGATCCAGCTGTAACTTTTTTATTTTTAGTTTTTATTGTGAATTATGTAATAGTTTTGTTGCTGTTGTTGTTAAGTGCCATCGAGTCAGTACTGACCCATAGCGACCTTATGCACTGCAGAATGAAACACTGCCTGATCCTGGGCCAACCTCACTACTGTTGCCACACTTGAGTCCATCGATGCTCTGAGAATATTTACATTCATCCTATCATATTTTGTTTCGTTGCAATGATTACAATCCCCTCCATGCACCCTGCAAGCCTGCCTCCCAGACACCAGCACACAGCCCCTCTTGAGTCCAGAGTTCTCAGCCACTCCATCTCTCCACATCATCATCTGTGCCTCCATCTCTGATGTCAATGCTTCTCTGGGTAGGGTCAAGCACTATGCTCCTCTCCCTTGGTGGTCCCAGGCCCCTCCTCTCCTGGACTGCAAAGTCAGCCACTCCCCTCGTTTATTACAAAATGTCTACCTTTACATTTTCAACCCTCACAGTCAGTCCTGATAGCAATTCTTTACTATTGTACCACAAGAATCTTATCCCTATCTTCTTTCATCAACCAAGTCCAGGCAGATTGGATACTACTCAGTGCAGATTCTACCTTCCCCCACACCCTCTGGAACTAGGTAGCCTTTTGAAATCTTGTAAGCCAGTCACTTCTTGCCTTTATAGCACCCCCACCCCCCTTTTAGGGTAGCCAGTGTCTAAGTTGCCCATCTCTGTCAACCCTGCATACCAAGGGGGTGGGAATAATCCTTGCTGTAAAGATTTGTTCCCTCTTTTGAGCTACTACATCCATAAATATAGGTCAGGTTCATCAAATTGTAACAGAGTACTCCTTTTTTCCCGTCTTCTTTCTTCTTCTAGTTCAGTTCTGATCACCCAGAAAATGAAGCCAGGTCAACTGGGTATTATCTGCAAGTATCAGTGCTCTTGTGCATCTCCCCTCACTTCATATCAGCTGGATGCTTCACTCTGTACTCTAGTCCTCTGTAGCCATGTCACTGTCTCTGGCCCCAGATGTTCCCAGGTCTTGCCAGACTGCTGGAAAACAAGGTCTCAATCCGGGTTCACAGGAGTCTATTGAACGTGATCAGACTTAGCTCACAACTTCATTGCTGTTTTTCACCCACATCCCCTTATCAGTGACCAATGTGGTCACCAGCCAGACCACATGGCTGCTCATGTATTATCCTTGAGTCTTAATCTTGGAAGGGGTTTTACCCTGAGGGGACCTAACCATTTGCCTTGATGGCTTCCAGGTGAACAAATTGCTTGTTTGCTTTTGACAAATTTGTATTATAGATTTCATTAAGTGGTAGTCTAGAATCTAAACTAACAGTGTTCACTACTCTGCTATATCACCAACAAAACAAAGCATAGTACAAATAGACTGGTTTACTTAGTCTGCCAAAAAAAAAAAAAAAATGGGTAAGGATAATTATTGGTGGGGGAAAATTACTTGGAAATGCCTTAATTCTTCATATTGGTGAACTGTGAACCAAATCCTCCAACTAATGATGCAATTTCCACTTTAATTTGTTTGTATAGACATGACCACTATATAAAATTAACAGAGAACCCAGTTCAGACCCAGGTAAACTGAATCATAGAAAAACAAAGCCTTTGGGATGTCTATATTTTTATTCTGTTCTACTGAATTTTCTTCCAAAGACTGGGCGAGAGACAAGTTTTCAGACAATCTCTGAAAAAGACACATCCAAAGTGCTTGCCAGACGCAGATAGATCTCACCCATTATTTATGCCTGGGAAAGGTCATTTTCCTGTGGCCCATATCCTCACCTAGAGACTCCAGTCACCCAGACTTGATTTTCCATTACTGCTTTTCTCCTAATTGTTTGTTTTTCATATGCTAGGTGGATCATTTCCCAGCTTATGGTTTTCAGATATTTTCATAACATTTTCCATTGGTACCTTTGTAATCTTTCCTAAGACAAGGACAGTCTCCTGGCAAGTATTATGGGGGAAGGGGAGTCAAGACCAGTCCAAAAAGGAGAAAGACTGAATATTAAGGAAATGTTTTAAGTAATCCTCATCCTTGCTCCCAAATAATAAAAATCACAGTATCCTATTATTAAAACCTTATTGGCTATATCAAGGTATTGTGATTTCCTCTCTCTAATTTCTGTCTCACCGTCACACTAAATGACTGTAGGAACATTTATTTTGAACTAAACATTTATTTTCAACATCAGAGAAGACTCAACAGGGCAGGATCGGCACAGATGAGGAAAGCAAAGGACCCTTTTTAACCTGAATTACTTGGATCCTTCTCTTCTTACAGGTGAACAGGGATATTGTGTCAGGCTTGAAATACGTTCAGCACACCTACCGGACTGGTGTAAAAGGTAAGGGACCCAACACCTTCACCATCCTAAATTCTCTTTCTCACTAATACTCAAACATTAAAATCCCATCTAAAAATTAGATCAAAGCTTTGGACCTCAACTCAAGGAATGGGTACCCATACACCTCTGATCCAGACATTAACGGAAAGAAGGTAGGTCAACATTCAGTAGACCTAGTTGAGACTTGAGCCAGACACTAACTTTAGTCACTCAGCTTTCGGAATTATTTTCATTACCCATAAAAGAAATAAACTGAGATCAATTTAAATGAAGCAAAACCATAAAATACACTTGAAAGTTAGAAAGCAATTTATAGCTATCACATCTAAAAGTCAGACAAAACCCATCCCATGGTATGTGTGTGAAGAATGAGGGTTGAGAGCAGTACTCAATGACTTACCAAAGAAATAGAAAAACAAACAAACAAACTTGTAGGATTGAGAAAAATTGTCTAATGAAAACAAACATAACAACAGTACTTAATTTGAAGCTGTTCTGTACAAGTAACTGTTGTTGATGTTAAGTGCTGTTGAGTCAGTTCCAACTCATAATGACCCTATTTAGGGTTTCCATGTAATGACTGTTGGGTTTGAACTGCTGGCCTTGCAGTTCAAACTGACCTTGTGGTCCAGTGCTTATCCAACAGTGCCAATGAGGACTCCACAAGTAACTAGTGTCATGAAAAACACAGTTTAATTTCCTATATTCGTTTGAGCATAAAGACAAATTGTCTCCTTTAGCAAGAGTATGATGATGAATCTATAGATCTCCCTTCAAGCTTATTAATAACACATTAAGGCCAATTACAGACTCCTGTTGTGATGCTGTAAGTTTAGCACTGGACCGCAAACCACAAGGTCAGAAGTTTAAACCCACCAGCTGCTCATTGGAAAACCGCTACAGGGTCACTATGAGTCTGAACTGACTCAGCAGCACTTGACAACAACAAGGTCAACTGTACACTACCTGTTGCTGTTGTTAGGTGCCATTGAGTCAGTTCTGACTCCTATCAAACAAATGTACAACAAAATTAAACACTGACCAGTCCTATGCCATCCTTATAATTTTCACACTTGAGCCCATTGCTGCTGCCACTGTGCCAATTCATCTCATCCGGAGGGACGGGGGTGTGTGTGGTTCTTCCTCTTTTTTCGCTGACCTTCCACTTTACCAACATGATGTCCTTCTCCAGAGATAGTCCCTTCTGATAACATGTCCGAAGTATGAGAGACAAAGTCTGGCCATCCTGGCTTCTAAGGAATGTTCTGGTTGTACTTTTTCCAACATAGATTTATTTCTTCTGGCAATCCATGATTCTTTTAATATTCTTCTCCACTACCTTAACTCAAATGCATCAATCCTTCTATGGTCTTCCTTATTCATTGTTCAACTTTCACCTGCATATAAGGCTACTGAAAACATTATAGCTTGTATCAGGTGCACCATAGTCCTCAAGGTGATATCTTTGCTTTGAACACTTTAAAGAGGTCTTGCACAGCAGATTCGCCTAACGCAATACATCCTTTAATTTCTTGACTGCTGTTTCCATGAGTGTTGATAGTGGATCCAAGTAAAATACAGTCTGTGACTACTTTAGTCTTTTCTCCATTTATCATAATGCTATTTATTGGTCCAATTGTGAGGAATTTTGTTTTCTTTACATTGAAGTTAGTATTTTAAGCCATCTTCACTTTCAGCGTGCAAGGTTGTATCATCTGCATATCAAAAGTTGTTAATTAATATATCTTCCTCCAATCCTAATGCCACATTCTTTGTCATATAATTCAGTTTTTTGGATTATTTTCTCAGCATGCAGATTGAATAAGTATGGTGAAAGAATATAGCCCTGACGCAAAATTTTCCTGATTTTAAACCATTCAGTATCCCCTTGTTCAGTTTCAACAACTACCTCTTCATCTATGTACAGGTTCCTCATGAACACAATTGTTGTTGTTGTCAG